TAGAAATAATTATGCAAATGTCAATCAGTTGTTGTAATTTTTTGATTTGTATTTTTGGAGAAATAATTGATAACTTTATGTAAAATGTAGGGTTAACCATTGCGTGGTTTCAAAAGTACACTGATGTATTTAGACATCTGTCAAACCAAACATGTTTTGTTTTAGTCAAAAGTCTGGCATTTATGAAAGTGGATCGCTTAACAAACGCACAACGCGTTAAAATTGTTAAAACATGCCACGAAATAGACGATTCATACGTGGCCGCATAAACGCCCAACTACTCAGGCAATTGGTAGTTTTTAAAGAAATAAGACGACACTGCAGCAGTACAGATATTGTAAGGCCATCATCGATTTGCTCTTTCCGCCTCTAATATCGCTAGTGTAAGTGAAAGTGTAGTCGAAGACCCGCAGACTCGTATGTCTATTTCTCAACGTTCTCAAGAGCTGGGACTTTCTTACAGCACATTATGGCGTATTTTGCACTTGGACTAACACCTTTACTCGAACAAAGTCCAGCTAATACAACAACTGAAGCCAGCTGACCATTCACAACGTCGTACATACATCGATTGTGTGCTTGAACAACAAGCAGTAGATGGCGATTTTTGGAACAAAATTTTCGTCAGGACGAGACTCATTTCTCATTCAGGCACAAATAAGCTAAATTGTCGTTTGTTTGGGCACAGAGAATCTTCAAATAACTGTAAAGAGACCATTGTCCAAAAAAAAAAAGAAAAAAAAATTACTCTTACTCTTTGGTCCGGAGTTGTGATTTTCCTTCATTTCGTTAAAAACGAGAAAGGCGAAACTGTTACTGTTAATTCGGAGTGTTATGGTCGTATGATAACAAATTTTTTCTTGCCCTTAAAGAACACGACTTGGGCAACATGTAGCTTCAACGAGATGATGCTACATGCCACGCAACTCGAGCGAATATAGCTTTATTACGAGAGATATTTTTCCAGCCGCGTAAACTCTCGTTTTCCCACCGAGAACATATGATTTGATACTGTTGGAAATTGAAAAGAATTTTGCTGGGCTAAGCAAAAGACAGTTTTTATGCGGTTTAACCTTGAATATGCGCCAACAAGTGGCCCCGAATCAGCTCAAAAATTCTCGGGGCGCTCATATGAATGAAGTAAGGTTTCGCATATAATGCCAAGTTTCAAACTTTATGTTAAAAAAATAAGAATTTCGTAAAAAAAAAGTATCCGAAATGTATTTAATTTATGTTTCTTTTTCGAAACCACGAAATGGATAACCCTCTACATGGCTGATTTATAAATTTTCATTTTCTTTAAGCTGCATCAACTTATGTTTGGTAAATCATTCCTCAGTTCTCTTAATTATATATCTACCGATTTACATACATACGTGTACATATTGATTCCATTATATACATATTAGTAAAAATTTTACGAAAGTTTCTTTTGTTTATATGTTTTGGTTGAATATATAATAAATAAAGTTATATTTATAGTTTAGTATGTTATGCAGTACGAGTATATATCGGCTTGTGTCAGTAATGTTTTCTAAATAATTTTATATATTATAAATTGTTATATTCACGTATGTATTATGTACCTTAGTAAAAGTATATTTATAGTATCTTTGTACGATATGTTCATCTAGTACCTTCGATCTAATACAAATATATTTACTTAATGTCTAACCGAACATCACATAATCTACGTATTTAGGGTGATTTATGTATAATAAAAGTATTTCAAATAAAGGAATTTATTCAATTCTCATGTAAAATATATGTATGTATATAGTTAAGTCAGGTTTGTGTATGATAGCCTTATGTTAAAAATATTTCAGAATTTCTCATCAGTTCTACCGAAGATTTGTAATTCAAAAGAATTTTTTTGTTTTCCGTTTCCAAAAAAAAAAAAAAAATAAAAAAAAAGGTTTTACCTTTAAACAAAAATGAAAAATAATATTAAAAGATATGTGTTCGATAAAAAAAACAGATCAGATTTACTAAATAGCTTCGCAGATTAGAATATTATAAATAGTTTTTAGTTTAAGGGGTTTGCGGAGAAGAAAAGTCGGCTTTCAACAATTTTTTAATATAAAAAATAAAATAAAATACTCAAACTAAATACCATTTTAAAGGTATACATTCGTTAAGAATTTCTGAAAATTTCCGAGGAAAGTATGATGTCATTTTGAACACTCAGAAAAAAGGAGCATCTGTAGGAGCAGGAGAACTCATAACAGATTATACTGAAGCTAAACTTAAAAAATTTAAAAATAGTTAAAATTGAATTTTTGTCAGATTTTTCTTTGCAAAAATGCGTATTTTGGTAAAATTTGCTACGCTTTTTTTTTTTTTAAATAACTGTCCAAAAAGCTTCATTCAATTCCTCGTAAATTGTATTTCGACGACTTATGTAAAGTTTCACTAAGATCGAGAACTTTTGACAACCTACTTTGCTATAGAAATTACTAGAATAATATAAAAAATTGATTTTTGAGACCGTAACGCCTTAAACGAAATCTACTAATTCAAAAACAAAAATATTAAAATAACCTGAATTTTCAGTAAATAAAAACTTTTGCAAATCAAAAAAATTCAACCATCAAATGTAGACTCGAAGTTTGATTCTTTTTGTTAAAAGCTCAAAACATTGGTTTTTCTCTCGCAAGTTAGAAATCTCAGTAAGCACTGAACACACTCGTACATATGTATATTTGTAGTTTTTGCCGTATTTTAACAGATTTTTTCACAAAGAGGCAGACTATCAGTAATTCTAGCAACATTTCACGGCAACCAAAAGTATTTAGAATTATTTTTTCTGCCAAATGGTAACACTAAAACTAAATTCCGATTCCTTTAGCACTTACTTCCTTGAATTCTCATCTCATCCCAGGAATACTTAGTAAAACATAAATTGAAAATATATCGGATTTATGTTTTTAAATAAGAGTGATGAGATTAAATTTTGTACAGAAAATCTACTGAAATCAAAAAATACTTTCGTCTTGCTTGTATGTGTTTTAAGTTATCCCTGTACTTATAAATTAAAGAACTGTTGCTAATGTTAATAAGTAAGCTCTATTATAATTATCTAAGGCCTAAAAAAGTTTGGACACTTTAGCGTGGTTAGCTAAAATCTAAAGAACTGAGAGCGTATATACAAAATACTCTACAAGCTCATAGATAATTATTCTTAAAAAATGGTGTATTAAGTAATTATGTAAATACGTGTATGTATAATAGATAAATAACTATGATGATTGCACAAAATCATTTACAATCTTAAAAATTTAATTAAATAATATATAAATGTTACATATACATATATATCAGAGATGCTCAACGAACGAAACGCTGCCAATTGGTTTTGTTGATGTGAAAAATAAACTCACTGAAACGATTTTGAATGTTGAAACTATATAAACTCATTGTTACAGGCCTATTCTCATTGTAACCGGTAAAGTAAATTTTGTTACATTTCTTTTACACCCGAAATTGAATTTGGTATTCTGGCGAACTGGTTACAATGTTTGGAAAAAATTTGGCAGCACTGTTTTTTTCGTCCATGCCAAATGACATTTGCCAGTTGATAAAGTAAAAAGAAAAATATTCACATCGAAATGGAAGACAGTGCACAAAAAAATTAAAAAGTTTTATTAATATGTTTATTAATTCATGAATATTTGAACCTATTTATGGAAAATATGCCTGGATAACAAAAATAGCTGAATGAAAACGTAATATTACAAGTTAAATAGCTATTTTTTTAGTCTCTTCTTCTTAAAATACGGCTTTTTGCACGTTTTTCTTCATCTTCAATGAATTCCAGGCCTAAAATATGCCTACTCATTTTGGTTATTTATTTTTTCTCAAACTTACAACACAAAATCAATCAGCAGATATTTTTGTTACCCTCTATTTCGTTGGTAACAAAATTTACAGGGTAACCGTGAGCTCAGAATACGAAATACCTATTTAAAATTTGTTACCTCGACAGAATAGGCCTATTACTGTTAATTCTAAAATGCCTGCTTGCTATGACATTAACAGCACACTAAAATTTTAACGCTTAACTTTGTCTGTTAACGATTTAACATTATCTGTTAAATATTTAACATTAACTAAAGCTTTTCCTTGCAGTTAAAAACGAAATAAAATGTACTTTGATAACTGTTTTAATGATAAAATTTTGAAATGTTGTAACCGGATCGATTGAAAATTTTTGATTTCGTAAAATTCATAGTTATGACGCAGCCCTGATATATGTACATATACTCATTTATTATATGAGTGTTTTCCAAATGTATTTCGGAAAAGCTTTTGAAAAAATTAATAGAATAACAACAGTTTTTATCAAATAGCAATTTAGTGTTATATTTTTCGAAAAAAAAAAATATCTTTATGAAGAATATTTTTTTACCAGAATATTATCTCTTAAAAAAATTTGAAGTTTCCGAAATCTCCAAATTTTGAATTTACTATGAGATCAACTTAACAAAAATAAAGCCACTATTATTTATTTAAATAAGTATCGTTGTTATCCTGTTGATGAATGTATAATATTTTAAATAATCCATTATATATATGTAAGTACCTAATAATTTCTTGAGCATTTTGTTTGATAAGTTTTACAAAATTCAATCGCTGAGTGAATATGTCTGTAAATAGCTATGTGAGAGAGTTCCATAAGATGTTGTCAAAAGTTTTATATACGTGTATGATAAATATTGGTTTATAGTCCATAAAATCACTGATACAGCTGCTAATTATACACTTATTAAATATATATGTATGTAGTTTGTAATAAATATCTCGATTATATGCTAATATACAAATTTATCGATATATTGTACATATACTATAATATACTTATATAACGCTTCATTAAATACAAGTGATTACATGAAAATATACATATATTTAATTACTATACTAGATATTTCTTTATATACTACATATTTAGGTAAATAAATGTATGTCAGTATGCTGCCTATAAATCTCCCGTACGCCTTATATGCCTTGTTTGTGCCTCTAGTAGTTGTCGCCAGCGCTGGATACACCACATTTCGAGCGCAAAATTGCAGCAAGTCGTTGCGTTAGCGGTTCCGTTGGCGATTCCGAGTCGCTGCAGGATGTTGAGGGTAATTTGTTGCCTGATGATGAATGTATGTAGGTTAGAAATTTATTAAATAAATATTTTAAAATAAAACTTCCTATTATGACTATTGACACAAAATTAATGTTGCCTATCTTATCTAAAATTATACTAAAAAAATTATTTGGGCGTTTTTCTTAAAAAGAGGAGTTGTTTTTAATAAGATAGTACTTTCTTCGGGGATGATATTTTTGAAATCTGATTCATACTCAGTTTGTCTTGCCATATATAATGAAAAAACTATCGCCGGAACAACGTTTGCAAGCGATTCAAATTTATTACCGAATTCAAGCAACCATGGTTCGGTTTCGCACTACTCTAATGGGGAATGTGCATTCTCAGACGCGCCGTACACTGCGCACCGAAGACATTATTACTGTTGTGAAACGGAGCATTGAAAAAGAACCGAATGTGTCCATTCACCATCGCACGCACCAATTGGAGCTATGCCTATCCAATTTATGGAAGTTTTTGTGAGAGAATCTTGGTTTGGGGGTTCGCAAAATCGAATTCGTGCAAGAATTGAAGCTGAACGACCTTCAAGCGCGTTGCACGTCCGGTGAATGGGGTCAAAACGACACGGCCACCGAACTCTATTTTCGAAAAAAAATTTTGTTTAGCGATGACGCTCACCTTTGGATCAAAGGGTACACTGAATAGGAAAATTATCATATTTGCGGTTGATGACAATCCAGAAGCCATTGCTGAGACGCCATGTACTTCTTCAAAAATGAAGACGGAAAATTGGGAATTCTATAGAGCTATTATGCAGACGAACTTTGAATCCGACTGGACGGCGCTGCCCACCACACATCCAACAAAATAATTAATACAAATATTAAAGGAAACTCGCTTAGTGAGCCTGTGATATGGCCTCCCAGATCGTGCGATTCAATACCGCCGAACCTTTTATTTGTGACACTATGTAAAGTCCTTTCTCTACGCAGATGAGCCCGAGAGTATTGACGCCCAGGAAGAGAATATTCGGGGCATTATTGTTGACATACGGCGCCAAATGATACGAAAAGTTCTAGAAAATTGGGCCTTTTGGCTGAAATTTATGCGAGTCAGCCGTCCAAAATCAAATCCTTATCTTTTTACTAAGCACAAATTCTTGGCCATTACTCTGAATTATTGCGTTTTATTTCTTTTGAAAACAACTTGTTTAAAAAACACCCTTTATTGTTAAACGGTCTCAATCTAATCACTTCATCACTGGATTTTGTCAAATGGTTGTTTATAAAAAATGTGTGCGTGCCACCAGAATACAGCCACTTACCATTGCTGACATCCAAATCGGGTGATGATAGTTCTTTGGTAAACTTCAAATTAACCGGCGCTATATCGTCCTCCTCCTCGAGCAGTAAACTGGAATATGAATGCGTTGTATTGTCGCTGCGACTACGCCCACTTCCGCCACCGCCACTAGATGAATTTCGCGATGAGAGTGAATTGTTGCCAGTACCCGCTGCCGCTTCAATGGAGTTGGGATCATCGATTGGCAAGTCGTCACCACTGCTGCTAATGACATCCTCCACATCGTCATCATCATCGTCGTCATCTTCGTCATCATCCACATCATCATCATCATCATCATCGTCTTCGTCATCGACTTCATCTTCTTCAACTTCATCATCGACCGACTCACTGAGACTCGCACCCGCCGAATCACTGCTGCCGCTCCGACTACTCACATCCAATTCATGACTATTTGATCCTCCGCCCAGAGAATGGCAATTATCTTCATTCAGTCCGTACTCATCGATACCGTCATCCACTATACCAATAGGTTGATCTTCGAATGCCGCCTCATCACTCTCACCTGCTGATGGATCCGAGGATTGTAGCTCTAAAACTGGCTCGGGTGAAGATGATTTATTATAATTCTCATCGCTGTCACTAGCGGCACCTGTACAAGTAGAATAAAGTTTCACATTTCAATTTCCAAATACAATAAAACCTGACACCACTCACTACTCACTGCCCAACTTAGTGAAAAGTAAGCTCTCAATTCTAACTTGTGTGAAACTTACCTCGTAATTTTTCGATTATAAGCGGATAGAATTCTTTGGCTGTTGCGTTGTTTGGTTCGTATTGCAAGACTGTTGAATTGTATTCGTTGACAGTGGCGAAAGTTTGTTGAAGGTGAGCATAAAGACGTAGATGAAGCAGAGAGTGTCAGTAAAAGTTTATGATTTAATTAAAAGTTTTGATTTGCAAACGCTCATATTTTTTATCATTGTAAGACGATCAAAGGAAACTTACTCAGTTTGCAATATTTCAAGGCCTTTTTGTAGTCTTTGAGCATCACTGCTGAGAGGAACTGTAAAAAAGCCGGAAAGTTCGGAAAAATAATTTTAGCGGTGCAAAATATTGAAAAAATGGTTGCAATGAATTGAAAAGGTAGACGTTTTTATTAGCTCAATTAAATATACAACATGTACGCATGGGGTGCAGGTATAGTTTCTATCTGATTGAGGTGTGAAATAAAGTTAAAGCAATTTTCATTATTTAATTAATTTTTTTTTATTAAATTTCCTATAATAAGTTTATCTGTAAGTTTATCTTTATGTATATAATTACCGCTCTGTAACCGCTGAAGCGATTTTTCGCCGAGATCATTCCTCTAATTTGTGGTTTTGTGTCTTGATGTTCTTCCTACAAATGGAGGGACCGCCTCCGAACGACTGATGTGTTTTTATGAGTAGTCCTTATTTCATGTCAAATATACACTCGGAGGGCTTGACATTCTCTACCGAGGGGCGAAGTTGATTTTCTATAACTTCTATGAAACTTACTACCTTTCTTGATCTAAGGCAAAAAGTTTAATTTGCCTGTGTGTGCCTTCTACTGTTTCCTGGTGGTTGCTATGAAACGCTACGGATAGAGATTTCCTGAAGAAAAGTGGGATATCAGCCCAAAAGTCGATGGGAGAAGTGGCAATTATTTCCCGCGGATACAGGAGGTCTACTAAGCTGCAAGTTTAATTGGACGAAGGAGAAGGAGGAAAGGTTGGCTTACTGAGAGGCAAGGCCATTATCTACCTCTACGGATCCAAGATTCACGAACCGGATCGAGAATGGAAACGCGGCAGTGAGGAAGTCGCCTAAAAAAATCATAGTAATCCTCTGGCTTAAATGTTTCAGGAGCGCTGGAGTGCAGCAGAGTGCTGGTTATTCTCTTCGCGAAAATTGATTATGCCAACTTTTGACGCTTGGAGATTATGGACGCAACCGCGTATCGTCCACACTGACAGCGAAGGTGGTCATACCGCACGCTTTTACCATGTGCAACGGCTTCTTCAAAGACAGAACCCAGACATGTCGATGGGAGATTAGAATTGTTAAAGGCCTTCAACTCCGGTAAGGACTATGGCAGCAAAACGTACATCTCTTAAATAAACGAATCGATTGAAGACATACTGTACAAGAGGCTGAGGATCTGTGAGAAATCTTAGAGGTTCCTTTGAAGCTCCAGGAAACTGAGAGGGGTCAATCAAAGATTCCAATCGACTCCGAGAAGAATCTTGATTCTTTAGATAAATCTCCATAAAAGCTCTGGTGAGCTGCTTCTCTATTGATAGCATCGGGAAAGATGGTATCTTAACTAAAGTCGCCAACATTCTATACGCATATCCCGAGTGCAACAAATATGGAATAAAAGCTTTACTGGTATTCATCTTTAATATCATTTCAGATGATCTGGCGGTAGTGGCTATTACATGCCTTACGGCGATGGGGCACCACTAAACTAGCTTCGGAGGTAATTATGAGAGGCCGAAAATGCGAAACATCAACATCGGAGATGCAGATGCTAATACGTACAACAGGGTATGGGGAAAGGGCGACGGCTGCAAGCGGAGGAATTGATCTGGTAGCAAAGGGATCGCTGTTTAAATGTAAACATCTAAAATGTAAATCATACACCGAGGTTGTGTGCTGGGTTTTGGGACTCGCCGTTTAAAAACCAACTCCAATAATAAAGAGACAACAGTCTAGAATTGGAGACCACACTTCTGTTGATGACCATTGCAAATGTATTAATGACTATGATTTAAGGGTGTGTACCTGTAACGCCTTGTCTCTTAATAGGGAAGGTGCCGCTAGCTAGTTGATGTCCCTATTTATCACCCTGGAAACACGGTGGACCACCACCACTCAGACGCCAATGTACTATCGTTTACCCCGGCGAAACAACGTCTGCAACAATATACAATATGAATTATAGTAAAGTTCTTCAACATTTCGGTGACGGAACACACGTATCCAGTGTCTTAACTGACTCGGGCCACTATGCGGTTACAGTCTAGATGCGCAGTTAGGAACGTGTGCCAATAAACACGAAGGAGGGCTCGACTTCGAAAAGCTGCAAAACTAAAAGCCTTGCACTCCAGCTCTCTAAAAGTACTCATCAACACCTCGGTGTAAGTGAACTGTAGGACAGCATTACCGCGAGTTGCTAAGGGAAGGGAAACGCATTTAGATGCAAAAGAAGCGAGAGCTTGACATGGCCAATAAGGAAAGTGGCTGAAAATCATAACAAAAAAATTAGGCGTATTTCAGAAGGTTTCACAACCGGTGGTTCTTCATGTCGAAACGTTAAAGGGAATCTTAAGACAGAAACTCAATATCGAATTTATGAAGGAAGTGAAAGTTACGCACCTGGAGATGGCGAAACCTCAGTCGATGACGATGGTATAGATGTTCCATCACCCGACTATGATGAAGTTCAAATAGCGATTATCCGCTTAAAGAATAATAAAGGAGATATTCTTTGTAGATGATAGTCGTACTATAGGAACTTTACTGTACTCTGTTCAGCTCACGAAAAGGGACCCTGTAATATTGAATGTTCTACCGAGTGTATTGTGGGAGAGATTGCCCAGATTGAACAAACTGATTGGACGTTATCACCATGTGTCAAATCGTTGAAAACTCCCGGGGGAAAAGGATTAAAATACACCACTTCTATGTTGATTTCAAAGATGCCGTCATCAGCACAAAAATACTGTGTTAACTGTTGGTGAGTAGCATAAAAAGCTTCGTCAGAATTTTTCAGTACCTCTCCAAGTTGCTCGGTACCAAACGCTGAAGTCTCGAGTATGCTCTTTATAGTGTGACTTAACTTAATGTTGAAGAATTTAATAAGAGCTGCAAGGTTTGAATAAAAAGCTAGGATCTGGTAGTGAATGAGTACAAGACGGAATATTTCCTGCCATCAAACAAACGGAAGCAGATGATAGAACGTTGAGCCTTATGAGATTTACGACGACGTTAACATACTTCAGCGTTCGAATTAAGAGACAACGGCTACGTAATGATACCCAAAATTGAATGCCGATTTCAGGCTGGTACCTTGGTTAGGTTGCTGTATTCATAATATATGGAGTCTTGGGACAGATGTTTTCCGGATCAGTTCTCAAATATCGTATATGCGTATCTTTCTCGAAAGTTAATTTTATTGTATAAAGTAATGTACGGATAGAATTTCCATAGCAAAACTAAGGTGAAACATCCTCATATCATTGTCTCATGTAATACCGATTTCTAACGAGTGATTTGTAGGATTGGAAACAAAAATCAACGGTTTTATTTTTCTTACTAAATTTTGAAATTAAAACCATAATCGACTGTAGGAAATGAATTATTTCCACTATTACAAAAAATTTGAGAACAAAATCTATCACATAGTCCTAATGCGAAATGGATGGACACCATAAAAAGTTTAAATTACTTGAGCTCTTTGGCAAGTAGGTGGAAATGATACGTATATGTGTGTTTTGAGTGAAAAATGACAGAAACATATTTATTACATTGGAGGATTGTAGTTGCTCGCAGTAACCCAGCCAACTACTTTCTGCGCTCTGTGGCTGAAGTAGAGTGTACTAGAAACGGTTAAGGCGTAACGAAAAACTGATCAGAGTAGGCTTTAGCAACTAAAGTAGTCCCAAAGGCGATAGAGAAGTGGAAAAAATCCTAATGAATCTGGGACTGATGGTTTGATTAATTATTAATTTCGCCTTGTAAGTGGAAGAGCAGTTTTTTCAATGAGGCACACTCACCTACTTATGAATGTATAGAGGAACCAAAGAAAAGATACCTCAAAATATTTATTGCTTCCGTTTTTAACTTCATTCTGCCTTTATCAAAGTTTACAAATTGCCAAGTGGCAAAGGGCAAATCGCAGCTTTATTTACTATAGTCTACATAGTACATATAGCTGGCAGGGAGTGAAACAAATTGCATACCTCTTGGCGTTTGCGCATATTTTTATATCGTTCTTTTTTTTTTACTTCTTCTTCACACTCACCTCCGCAAGAAACTCAGTTGGCGCTGATATGCTTTCATCGGCATCCGTGTACTCTGATAAACTTTGACTTAGATCCTCATTGGAGACGGATGTGGGTAGTGTGGCTGACGTGATGCCGGTGCCGATGCCGGTGCTGGCACTGTTGATGTTCGTGTTTGTGTTCGTGTTCGTGTTGGCGTTGGCGTTGGCAACCGCAGCTGTCATTGCCACAGTCGAGGCCGCTATATTCATGATGTTAATGTTGTTGATATTATTTGTGTTTGTTGTCCCTGTTGTTGTTGTTGTTGTGTTATTTATGATGTTACTAGTACTATTTGGATTGCAGCCCGTTAGCATAATATTGTTGCTTTTGCTATTGCTATTGCTGTTGTCGTCGTTGTAGTAGTTGATGTTATTGTTGCTTGTTGTTGTTGCTGATGCTGTTGTAGTTGTTAGTGTTGCTGCTGTTACATTATTGACTTTGGTTGCATAGATGCCATTGCAATTCGTTTCATCCATGTAGAGCAACTAGGCATTTGTAGGTGTGTATGTGCATGCGAACAGGAAATTGGCAATGGCATTGAGTGAGCGGATTATGCCAATTAGAAAAGGGAATAAATGAAAAAAATTTAATTTTAAGTATTAGGTATTGATTTTTTAATCTATAATCGAGTAATAATCAGTTCGGATTCTACTTAGTTCTCTTTCAGAAATTTTCTGTCAAAGACCAAAGGACGGTATCATTTCAGGACGAGCTGGCATCGATAAAATATTTCGAGACTTTAAATTTAAGATCTCTGTTGTTAATGTTGTGTTAACCCCAGAAATATTTCCCAAATCGAATTTTGGGGCTTATTGCGGGAGTGACGGCTCTTGGTTGGATAAAAATCCGTATTGTTTCGGTGTAAAGACCCTTCTCTAGCGGAAACTATTAGATTTTACTTTTCTCTTACGACAGGCTGTTGAATTCTTGAAACCATAAGAAGCAGCGAATATTCATTACCGCTTTCGAGAAAATGAAAAATTTCTCAGCTTCAAAAAACATTTTGTTTTCCCAGAATCTTGTGAACTGATTGATCTAAATTCTGGATATGTTCTACGTAATCATAGAGCGCTTATAGGAAAAAAATTAAGAACTTCATCGGTTATGTTACGTTCAAAATGTTCGTTAGTTGAATTTTTAATCATGTTAGGATTCTGGAAAAGTTTGGAATAATTTTTTTTTTTGGAATTTCTCATAGAATTAAGAGTATCGTAAATTTTCAAAAAAATTAAAAAAACTAAAAACTGATATTTGAAATTTTTTTTTTGGTTTGATTAATTTTAATCATTGATTTGTTGTTGTCGTTTGGCCAATAATCAAATAAACTACGCATTTCGTTATGACATAAATGAATTTTTAAATGAAATCGATTTTTGTACAAATAAATCGGATTTTCATTTTTTTCAGTATGGCGTACCGTTTTTGAAAATTACGAATACGAGAATTTAATGAGAACTTTGAAAAAAATTTCAAAATTGTGACGGCATTTATATAAATATATATTTATATAACTGGCGCTCTGTAAGCGCTTAAGCGATTTTCGGCCGAGCTTCTCCTCTAATAACCACAAATTGATATTTTTCCAACAAATAGAGACCTATAGTTTATGACAAGCCGCCTCTAAACGGCTGATGGTTTTTTATAAGGAGCCTTTATTTCATGTCAGAAATGCACTCGGAGGAGTTCATATTCCTGTCTAATGGCTACAGAAATAAGAAAATTTAACTTTTATTTTTTATTCAAATTAATTTTCCATAACTTTTGTTAGTACCAGAATATGAACCTTAGCCGTTCGAACGGCTATCGCGACCGGCTTTAACAAGCTCAAAATTCAGATATCGGTAGTTTTGAACGTAACCTTACAAGTTTTGAAGAATTTTCTGAACCGATGAAGCTCTAAATTTTTTCCTAGAAACTTCTATAGTGGCCAACAGCAACAATCGCTTCGCAAGGTCCCGAGAAAAAAATGGTTTTCTGACGTTGAGAAAAATTTAATTTTTCGGAATTTTGAATTAATAGCGATTTAAAATTAATTTGGAGTATCGATGTGTAGGTACAAATTTGTCTTGAAATGATGAGATCGATACATTTTTGGCCCGATTTGCTGTGCCTATCGTCCTTTGGTCTTATAAAAAACAAGTTTTGAAAGGGAAAAATAGAAAAAGCAATCGCTTTTGTCAAAAGAAATTTTAAAATATCTTATTCGAGCTCAAATTCAATGAAGAATAGATCTGTATTCTAAAGAAAAAATTTTAATTTTTATACTTACATTCGACATTTTGTTTATTCAAATTCTATTATGCGATACTTTGTAATTTGCACTTAAGCTCTTCTCCATATAAAATTTGTCTGGGATCCTCTCTGTTTTGTTTTACCACAGCTATTAAAAGTTTTTGCTGAATAATTGAAGTCTTTGAAAAGTTTGCATATGTACTTGTATGTATATGTATATGTTTGTGGTCACTGGGCTGCTTGCTTTTCTAAGTTCTAAGTGCGGCTTTTTTTTTTAGCTTTTATTGCATGTTTGGACAGAAACGAGTTGCATTTGGTAGATTGTCTGAAATGAAAAGAATTTACTGGTAAAGTAAATTTTTTGTTTTTAATAATTTACATTTGTATTAATTTCTTTTATAACATTAAATACCCTTGTTTACAATAAATCTGTATAGTTTTAACTACCATTTCCATGGAAAATCAAATTTGGTCAAGGCTTAACTGGTAAGTCAATGGAGGTTTTCTTTTTTAATGATTTAGGTGTGTTTTGTACAATCACAAAAAAAGGGGGACCTCACAGACTGCGACAAATTCGGATTCTATCGAGCGTTTTGTGCGAAAGCCAACTGTCAAAAAACTGTTTGGACTTTGTCTCTGTTGCTTTAGATCTAGTAAATCCACCATTAAACAGATATTTACCTTGGAAAATACCCTTGAAAAGAGGAATGACACACACCATCTATTCGTAGATTTTAAAGCAACATTCGACAGTACGATTAGGAGTTAACTCGCATTAACGACTCGGCTCTCACGTCACTGTTGACAGTCATAACTTTGAAGTCGTAGATAACTTCGTGAATCTCGGCAAACAAATACCTTACTCGATAGTTCAGCGAATCAAGAGGCAGCGGCAATGCCCGCTAGTCCATTAGGTCCGGTTGGATGAGAAGATTTCAGCTTTGAAAGTTTTCGATGCACTACCCGACGGTGAAAGCATAGGGAGAGGAAGACTTCCACTACAGAAGGAGCTGGCTGTACTCAGAATTTCCATTTGGCGCCGAACAGCAAAAGGAAGGAATAAAAGTCGCGCTTTGTGTTAACTCCGCCATAATCGCGTAAGCGTTGCTTATGCCAGTAAAAAGATGTTCAGTTTATTTTTTTCTCCGCCACCGCACTGAGATGCATACGCACCGTTAGGCTTTTCATTTTTAATATCAGAAATGACTTTTGGGTATTAACGCCCCAGCAATCAGATATTTGACGATTTTTTTCACTAAAAAATGTCGCTCGAATTAGCAAGCGGCAAGATACTGTGTCAGGGTTAGCCTGACGTTAATACGTGAGTAGCCAAAAAAGTTTGTAGCACGTAAGGGTTTAGGAGAACAATTTAAAAAATGGTAAAAACACGCTATTTTTTAAGAACGGTGTATTGAAAAGTCTCTCTCGTCAAACGAAACCGCTTCATTAACCTTCAAAAAAACATTTGTAAATAAAATTAGTAAGTGAATTTTCGAATCCTCACGCTGTATTCAGTAATGTAATCCACTGTTACTGCGATTGTCATCGAAAATTGGTTTCATAATTTTCGTCATCATATCCAAATAAACATGGATTTGTATCTTCTGTTCTGTTCTAAATTTGATAGTTCCACATCTTTTGTGACGTAGAATTACAATTCAAACACGAATGGGAGTTGAAACTGGCTGCAAATAGAAAAAAAATTGCATTCCAACCGACGTATACCGTAATTTTCTTTTGTAATACGATCGCCAATACGTTCACGGTTGTTGGAATTCGACTTCTAATTTTCGAGGAAAAGAAGAAACGTCATGGGCGCTCCATAGGCATGCTCTTATGGTCGAATTAACATACGGACTCAGCTGTCATATGGAAAGTTACCAACGCTTACCGATGCCGTTAGACGTTTGTCTCGCAAAAACCAGCGACGTTTGGATTTCTCCGTTACGCAGACTTAGCTCGTTCACTTCACTCGCGTTATAAAAGGTTGCCAGTATTTTTTTTTTAAATGAAATCGAAAGTTATGCATATCTCACTTCCAGTCAGGTGGAACGGCTGGGAGGTATATAAATTGGCTCTTACCATCAAGTAGCTATAATTAGAACACATTACATTTTCTCTTCTTTAAGAGACAATTTATTTGTCCTAAAAATTGTTTCGCCCAATGAAACCATTAATGTAAAACTAATGACATTAATGAATTTGTGCAAGTTCAGCGTTTAAGGTTCAACGTCAATGCGATATTTGCCATTTGCATTTCATGGTTCAGTGATTTTCAAAGGTTTCGTACAAACGTTTGCGCAAATCCAATTAGTTATAAGTATATTTTCTTACCTTTTCCCTTTTGTCACTAGCCCCCTGGTGCAATAGTTGAGTTACATAACTGCAGGATAAGACTCTGTCCGTGAAGTGAAGGGTTGGTGGTGGAAAATCGATTACGACAAAGTATTAACAAAACTATAAGTAGCTAAAAGTTAAGTGTTTTTCACATCAAATAGAGAAACAAACAGATGGGCGGACTAGGAGAGACTGTTGTTAGTGACAATTGGCCAAATGACACCCACATGCGCATTTATATATGTAAATAGTTAGGGATTGAGCCCCTTTTGCTGAGTTGGCATTAGCACCATTTAAAATGGGAAAATTAATACTTGTATTTTATTTTAATATTTTTTGGCTCATACAAGAGGGGACTAAAAGAGTTTCGTTGAATTTATTTATTTATTTATTTTTCGGTTCTAATATCAGGTGTACATCTTTGCTTCCGCCGTTTTTTTCCAAAATTAAAAGCTTTATTGCGAAAAAGTGCTTATAGATATATTATTTAAAGTATTGTCCTTCGCTAGCGACAACTTTCTCCCATCTTTCCGGCAATTTTCGGATCCCGGCTCGAAAAAAGGAATCCTCTTTTGACGCTATCCATGAAGCAATCTATTTCTCCACTTCTTCGAAGGATTGAAAATGTTGATCTGCCAGGCCGTGTGCCATCGAACGCAAAGGTGGAAGTCAGAAGGGGCGACATCTGGGGAATACGGCGGATGGGGCAAGATTTCCCATTTCAGCGTTTCCATGTACTTTTTGACGTGAGGCCGAGCATTGTCGTGTTGGAGGAAGACTTTGTCATGTCGCTCTTGATATTGTGGCCGCTTTTCTTTGAGCGCGCGACTAAGGCGCATCAGTTGCGTTCGGTAGCGATCTCCTGTGATGGTTTCACCCGGTTTTAAGACCTTGTAGTAAATCACACCGAGCTGATCCCACCAAATACAAATCATAACCTTGTTTGCCGGTACAGCCACCTATCGGAAAACGGCGGAAGCAAAGTAGTACACCTGATATTTACAATAACAAAAATTACAAAAACTAAATAACAAATTTTCATTAAAAAATAACGGACTCAGTCTTAACAGCCGAGTGATAGCCAAAAATGTAAAATATTTGCAGTCGATATGGTATAATATATTGAAGGCCAGGGCTCGCGTCCTGGTCTGATCAACATCCAAAATTATAGAAAATAGAAGCGTCGCTCCTCGTCAGAAAATGTAAAGTATCGAGTGTATTTTTGACACGGAATAAGAGCTCCTAATTAAAGTCCATCGGTCATACGGAGGTGGCTTAGATTAAACTGCTTCAGTGGAGGCAAATATATATCCGGGCAACCCTTCAGTAAAAAGCTTAATCACTTGCAAAATTCTAGTAAAATATTTGCAATATTAGTATTTTGATGTTAAAATGCACCAGTTGGATATGTGTTGACAAATCACCAGGAATTAGAATCGCAAAAACACAATTTGTTTCATTGAACTAGTATTTAACTAATAAAAACATGATAATTGGCATTTCGTCCAAAAAAAAAAAGAACAATAACAAATTCGAGTCACTAAAAAGAAAGTTTATAGGAGTTTAGGGATTGATAACTAGTATTGAAGAAGGAATCAGAACGTATTTGCAGACAAAACAGAAAGAGGCCGAGATGCTTGAATATGAAGAACTTGAGGTGCTGGCTGACAAGGGTAATGCTCGAAAATTCTATGAAAAGTTCAAGACTGGAAGATTTCAAGACCAGAACACAGTGATGTAAAAGCCAAAGAGGTGATCTGGTAACAGATGTTCAGAGCTTATTTGATGCTTGGAGCGAATATTTCTCCACCCTACTGAATGGCAGCAAAATCACAACACCAGGACTTGGTAAGCCTGAAACTCCAATTCATGGCGATGAAAGAGGCGTTCCTTTACTAAAATATGACACGGTTCGAATGGCTAGTTGTGATAACTTAACTGCAGAATTTTTATAACATAGCAGGTTTATGCATCCGGTTCTTTGCTAAACGTGGTCGGACGAAAGCATGTCCGACGATTGGAACCTAAAGTGCTCTGCCCTATCTATAAAAAGTGGAACGCCATGGTCCGCGCCCCTGGACCCAGCGTCCTAACTATCGCGCATGTTAAAGACTAAAGCACACGGTCAATAGACTGATTGGACTTTATCAAAGTGGCTTTAAAAAGATAAATCCGCCATTGATAAGACACTCACTAGGCGCCAAATCTTGGAAAAGATCCATGGGAAAAGAATGGATACACACCACCTTATCATAGATTTTAAAGATGCCTCAACAACTGCCTCTACGCCACTGTGTCTGAGCTAGTTATTTCTGCAAAATTTGAACGGCTATGCAAACCGGAACCGGATAATACCAGCAACACTTCCAGAATTTGGAAGGACCTCTCCGAGCTGTTCGTTACCGAAGAAGGTTTCAGACAACAAAGTCGTTAATTCTGCTTTCTCTAGGTTTGAAAAAGAAACAAAGGGAATGGGGCTGGTAGTGAATGAGAACAAAACAAATTTTACACTCACATCAAACAAACAGTCATCGCACTTGCGTATTGGCTGCGACGATACTGTTGATAGTCATAACTGTAAGGTCGTAGGTAGTTTCGTAAAACATTGAACCAGCATTAACACCAATAATAATTTCAGCCTTGAAATCCAACGCAGAATCACTCTTGCCAACAGGCACTACTTTGTACTGGGTAGACAACTAAAAGGTCAATTAAAATTAATCAAAGGAAGAGGAAGTCCTTCATTCCGTTGAAAGGATCAGGTGGGGAGCAGCCTGGCTTCACTTGGTATTTCTAATTGGCGGCAAACAGCGAAGAGAAGGAAAGAATAGCGTGCTATTGTTGCTTGGGCTTTAATCGGGTAAGTGGTGCTTACACCAATGAAGAAGAAGAAAAATCTTAAAAAAATATTTGAACACAGAATTTTGAAAGTACATTTCAGTTAATATAAATTGCGAGTGATATTTTACAAAACCGAACGTCTATTAC